TCACCAATTCGGGCAGATCAAGCCCATAAACAGGTTGATCAGCTGCTTCAGAACACTCTTTACCTATTATTTTACTCGACCCAGTCAGAGCGAATGTAAAGGGTAACCCTGAGAAGTGCTGATAGATGCGACTTCGCACCCCATTCTCTAAAGTGATGTGACTTTAGATTTGCACCGTGCATGTCCCCGTCGACTGATCTTGGCTACGACTTGCATGGAGATGGCAGGATATTTGAAATGTGGAACTCGTCCAATTTTAGACCAAGATCACAATCATATTACGACCACTGATAGAAAAAGTACACGCTACATGGGTGCCCGACAGGAGGCCGTCGCGCGGCAAAAATATAACAGTCAGCGGACGAGTCGCAGCGCGTGATGTGCGATGTAGGACGTACAATGGACACTATTTAACTTGACGCGAAATCACTACAGTACGCGCTGCGACTCGTCCGCTGACTCTGCCTTCTTGCCGCGCGACGGGCCTCCTGTCGGGTACCCTACGCTTATAGTCATAAAAATAACCACGCCTACAAAGGGAATGAAATTATCAGCTTGTCAAATAGAGCTAATTGAATCCGCTGAGAATTGTACAAGTCGGCTTTGGCAAGCATACTGACACTAACAAACAAGATAACATGGATCCGTACAGGGTGAACAATTTAGGGGAGGATATGACTGAGGAATAAATACGTTGACAACAATCAAGAGTCATCGATGGAGAGCTAGATGGACAAATGAAGCCTAGACTCTTCAGAAATGCTATTGGCGATGCCAAGACAACTTGACGAAATCACTTGATGTGCAATGACTGTATTGACAGCCTTTTCTTCATCCGATTCAGCAGACTGTTCATCTAAAAATCAATAATTAAATGGCAATAACATTTTGTATGAATTTGATGTCTTTTTTGTTTAGACTTCACAGGTCATCCTGAGACGACCGGGTCCACCAATTCACTTCAAAAGGTGTTGCGTATCGGATTTAGCCGGAATACATGTTGAGACGCCAAGCAACCCTGCACGCTACAATCTTGTGCAGAAAGCGCTGCGCTATATTCGCGTCATATAGCCTAACTGCGCAATCGTTCGCGTTCTACCTACAAGGAAATGGAGGGAAATTTCTCCAAAAAATTGATCATTTTGAAGAAATTCATGCACCTTTCTACATAAGAACGATTTAAAATCATAATATAAACGGTCGTACCTTGTCAGTTTTTGAAGGAGCTGTTGTAGCCGAGCTACTCTCAACGTTCTTCGGAGTTTGAGTAGTTTCCACAGCTGCGGCCGATGGGATCACTACTTCCGACACTGCTGAAAGACGTTCAATGAAAAGTGTAGAAAAAGATCAGTGTTCAGCTGCGACTGGTCTTGGCAACAATTTGATGATAAGGTGGTTGAACTTCGCAATATTTTCAAGCATTTGTTCTAGAAATGAGCTTAAAAATAAAACCGGGTCACCTAACCACCAAAATCAAAAAAGGAAGATATAAACACGATATATGCACGAAATACAGTACACTATGACTACAGGTTACTGGTAGGAAAGGTGATGTATTAAAAATAAGGAATTTCGTCAAAGCTCCAATACTGTACTGCGGCACACATGAGCAAGAACTCCTGAAGTGTTCCAAAACCCGTAAAAAATGATGAAGGTTCAGGCCACCGGGTTACCAAAAACAAAGATATTGACCAAAAATGAAAGTCGATATCAAAGGCTAACTCAAGCATTTCACCAGCGGTACCTGTGGAGAGGAATAACTCAAGATTCAACCTAGGCAGTCGAAAATTCGGCCCCAGATTTCTCACTCTAAGAACGGACAACCAACCTGTGCTCGCCTTACTCGCATTGTTGTTGTCACTGTCTATGTTCTTTGTTTTTCTTTTCTTGTCCTCCTTATTAACATCGCTCGGCGATTCCTCTCTTCGACGTTTTTCGCCTGAATTTTGTTTGGAAAGAAGATTTTGAGTCGATCATTCCAAATTAGTTATTGAATGGGGCACCTTTAGCCTTGGATGACTTCTGGCTAGACCTTTCCCTGCTATGCGAAGCAGACCTCTTGCCATTGCGACGTGTTGAGCGGTCACTTCTGCTTCGCTCATCGATTGATTTACTTTCTAAATTTGAATAATCGCACACTACACGTATTGTGAGCACTCACTGATTGCTGTTTGACATGAATAATGGGGATACTGTGAAGAAGAAACTTTTCGAATATACATAGTCGGTACCGACCACCCACGAAAATTCGGGGTATGAAAAAGTGGATTGCATTTTTTCTCAGTTTTTCCTCAACGATTACTTTTGAGATAACTGCTTAAACATACCTTTTGAGGAAGATTTCTTCGCTGACTTCTCTTCCTTCTCCCTCTTCCCTTCACTCTTTCCGACTAACTCTCTCTTCCTTACTCGATTTTCTGTGTTTTCTAGACCGCGACCGCGAACGTGAGCGGCTTTTCCTCTTCCGAGATCGCGATAGACTTCTGCTTCGACTTCTGTCTCGCCTCTTTCGCTTCTTCTTTGGAGAGGATGTAACCTGAAGCAACAAATAGATACAAATTATAATTTGAAAAGTGAATAGGTAGCCAAATTACTTCTACGTGAGCGTAGGTTTTGAAAATTCAAAATATAACAAATAAACAATTCCATCCAGAGTTGATAACAGTACACAGTGGTGGAAGCAATTACAATTAGAGAGGATAATAGATGGAAATGAAATACTATAAAATAATGGGTGGAAGAAAGAAAAAACAGGCCTGAAAAATCGATATGGAGAGGAAAAGGGAGTTGGGATACAAGTAATGCAGAAAGAAAGCAGGAAGCAGGCATTACTGAAACTTGGAAAAACAAGATAAATAAAAAGAAAAAAGATTTATGAGCGAAAATCATTGAATTGTCACCACTCACGTTGTCAAGCTCCTTGTCGAGTCTCAATCTTCGTGCTGTTAACTTCTTTCTTATTCTGAACTCCGTTTCCTCAGGTTTCTCTTCATTTCCTGTGGCTGAATCGTCCCCTTTACAAACGATCCTTAACCTTTCTGCAACGTCTTCCTTATTCTTCTCGATAGAGCGCGTCCTGTCCTCAACTGGCACGTCGTCTTCAGGAGGATGATAACACGTCGTCCTTTTGCGACACATCACCGGGGAGCAGAATTTCCCTTATGGTAGGATCCACGACGTCCAAAAGAGCTGTCGATTTGCTGGTACTCGCCACAGAAGATTCTGTTGATTTCCTGAGATTTTCTCCAGTATCGTCGCCATTGTGACTTGCATTGTGTGATTGAGCAGAGGCAGAAATTGACGACGACTGGCTTTCTTCTCCTTTTGATAGAAATCGTTTTCGAGAAGGCGGTGCCAGGCTGAAAAAGGGGTTTGACTTTGAACGAGTTCCAAAAACTTCATTTACACGACTCACTCGCTATCTGCGTGCTCTCCTTCCGAGTAATTATTCCGACTCCGCCGCCGTTTTTCTACGTATACAGCAGCGATCAAGTCTTCTTCAGCTTCTGTACTTCGTTTACGAAGAGCGTTATCGATAGTTAGACGTCGCTTAGATCCATCAGAATACTTCGACTCTGCGTGCACTTCGGAGGGGCCAATTGAGTGTCGAGACCTGGAACAAATAAAACAATATTGTACAAAACAAGAAAATCTAAATTTTTCAAAGGAAATAATCAATGTTACTCGCCATCGGGCAACTCATCTCAGCCACAACCTCGCTACTATCCATTGCCACATCTCACAATTCATAGCATGTGTGCAAGTATTCGTGTCATTTATGAGCAGCCTCTCAAAACTTTGGACCTCTGGATGGACCATGATTTTTCAGCTTTTCACCAGCGTGGTGGTCTTTTAGAAATTATGCTCCAGTACAAATAAATAGAGAAACGGTCGATTTGTAGATTTAATTTGAATTATCGATTAGCAGGTCAAAATCACAAATGGAAAAAAGTTTACAAGTGGGAAGAACAAGGAAATTACAGCCGATTCGGCGAATGGCGGCAAAACTGAGATTGACTGCAATTGTTCATCATGCTTATCATTGTTTTCGCAATTTTTGGAGTTTTTGGATTTTAGGAAGTCTTTTGAGATAAATTTTGGTGTCTCTTTGAGTTGTACAACACCTGTAATTATTGTGTTTCCTTACACTCGATAATTACATCGAGGTGATTGGTATATACAATGGATCTTTAATTTTGAAAAACAGTTCACTTTTTTGAACCTCTGCGAATATATTATGTAACAAGTCAAACTAAACTA